AGAGCCAAACTTATGTGGAAAAGAAGTTTTGGTGATGGCTAAGACGGGGAATATTTTTAGCAGTGCTGAATCACCACAGGGAAGTAAGTATATGATATGGACTGACTGTAGGGGTGGATGTCCCAGGGAAAGTTCAGATTAGGTACTGGAAGGGCCAAGGAAGCTTGGGACAAGAATGGACTTTTAATTGTTAAACACTCAGCCCTTTCCGGTTTTCTGTATTTTTAAAGAGGATGTCTGTTTGTGTGTGTGTGTGTGTGTGTGTGTGTGTGTGTGTGTGTGCACATGTGTGTGTGTGTGTAGGGTGGTGACTTCGGAAACCATTAGAGGCTGGAACTGGCGCTGCAGGTGGTTATAAGCTGCAGGACACAGGTACTTGGAGCCCATCTGTCCTCTGCAAATGCTGATGCTCTTAGCACTGAGCTATCTCTCCAGCCTTTTCTTCAAATGCTTTGGAAATGACTGATATTTCAGCATAAATGACTCCACATATTTGTATTTAAGTTTTGTAATTCATGTGATATCACCCATCTGACAGAACTCTATGGTACTGCCCAGTGTGAAAGGCAGCAGGGATGAGGAGGAGGGAGGACCATAGATAAAAGGAGTTTCAGAATGCTATTCAGCCATTCCTTTCTTCCCTCTCCACTCAGCAAATTCCATGCATTGTGTTGCTGTCAGGTTGCTATGAAAGGAAAAATAAGTGTATTTAATGAACTGTTGTAATATGGTTTGCTTATGAAAGTTTGGGTCTGTACCCATAATACCAGTTTTCAAAAAGAGTTGCAAAACTTGTGAATCTTCAGTGTATTCTCCCTGTTTTCTGGGGGAAATCTTTTTCAAGGATATGCCATGGAGGGTTCAGGGATATGTCTGAATTCTCTCAGGGAATTTACCTACAGTTTTCAAACTTGCAGTGGGCTATTGAAGGCCTGTAGGGCTCCACCCACACTCTCTGCTACCTACCTGTTCTCTTTGTAAGCACATTGGACTCGATTTAACCACTTCTCATTAGATGTTTGCTATTGTTCAACTCTGGGGCTTTTAAGACAGTATTCATGTATGTAATGGCTATCCCTGTTCAGACTTTGCATCCTGTTTTCATAATGTGTACCCTTGGAGATGGTCAGGTTGTTTCTCAGGAAGGGCCTAAGAAAATTCATCATTTTACAAGTTCTGCTGTTCTTTGGTTTGGAAATAGATGTTTTTGTTTTTTCTTTAGCAACCAAATTTCAACTACTATAGGAATTTCTCAGGTGCCTGTAGAGGAGAACATATGCATGCATTTCTCCAGTTTCTTTGTGCACACCTGGAAAACATGATCTTGTGAGCATCCATGATGTTTTCTCTATCCTCTGATTTCCACCATTAGACATAAGCTCAGATCCTAGCTCTTCCTATCTGAGTGACTAAGGGAGCTCTAGCCTGTGTCTTTAAACCTCATTGGCCTCATGTGCAAGTCTCACACTAGAGGGATCTGCTTCTGAGGTGGGTGTAAAAGTCAGATGTCATCCTTGTGTGTAAAGTGCATAAGGCTTTCTACCTAAGAGGCAGTGGATAACTGTTGGAAATGAGACGAGCATGGGTCTCTTTCAAGCAGGGAGCAGAAAGTACCTTGCTAGGACATTAGTCTCTACAAGACACTATAAAGTAGTTTAAAGTAATTCCCTGTGGTAGTGCACTTGTTTATATTATTGAAAAATCATATTTTACCTCCCAGTGGCCCTGCCTAATTTCTTCCTGAACTGTCTTGACTGGTGTGTTATCACTGACGACTATCATATTCTGGAGATAGGAAGGTGCTGATCACTGATGTTATGGAAATAACGATAGAAGACTGAGAAATTGTTCACAAAGCATAGGAAGTGGGACTAGAATCTACATGCCCATGTCAACAATGCAAGTAATCAATGTGAAAGTCCAACGACACCAAGAAAAAATTTGCTTAGACAAAATGAACGTCAAGGCTCTACTACAGGAAGTCCTCCACTACCAAAGTAAATCCATGTGGAAGGGAGCTGAAGCTCAAACTTTCCAGCCAATAATGATGTAAAATTACCCCATAATTCTAAAATTCATGCTGGGTGTATTTTATCTATGTATGTATTGAATTTTACAAAGTTCACGTATATAGTATGGTAAGACTTACCTGAGAGCATTAACTGCAGGTGGAAATGTTTACAAAGAACCGAATATAAAGACACCAGATAAGAAGTTGATTCTACTTTCTATGTTTTTGCAAATACAACTGCGATTAGCATACACACAGAACACAGATAAACGCACATGTAAGAGGGTCAGGCACAAATAATGTGTTTTGATTACAGGGCTGTGACAGTTTAAATTGTCTCCCTGCTTCCCACGCTTAGGGAGCAATTGTCTAGAGAGAGTCTGCTAACTTGTGTCCTAAAACAAGGTTATTAAATTACTAGTTGATCCATCATCTCAAAAGGCCTTAAGAGTTTACAGAGAGAGTTCCTTCAGATAAAAGCAACTTGTGTGTGTGTGGAGTTGCTGAGGCTCAGTTTGGGAAGCTCATGCTGGCTGAGTGTGGTGATGAGCTTAATCTGAAACTCTATTCACCATCTCTTTGACTCTTTTTTTTCTTTTCATTTATTATTTCTTCTCCATCTTCCTTCTTTTATTTTTTACTTTTTAAGTTCTTTGTTTCTTTTTAATTTTCAATTAAATTTTATGTAAATGGATATTTAGCCTGCTCGTGTCTGTATATTATATGTGTGCCTATTGCCTGTGGAGAACAGAAGAGGGCAATGGATCCCTTAAAACTGGAGTTACAAATGATTATGAGCTGCTACGTGGGTGCTGGGATCAGAATCCTGGTCCTCTTGCAGGAGTAGCAACTGCTGAGCCATCTCTCAACTCCCACTTCCTTTCTTCTCTAAAGTCGTCTTGAAACAGGCTAGCCCACTAATAAGCTGTAGTGAAGAGCATACAGTAGATGTGCTCCAAGTGCCCTGGTTTCCATTCTAAAATAACGTCATTTGTTGTTGTTGTTGTTGTTGTTATTTACTAGAGAAACACAAAAGAGGCTCTAAAATGTAGAAGTTATCTCAGAGTCAGTCAGAGGCATATGCCGATGTCAAGGAATAGCTCAAGAAGCTAGAAGTTATCTCAGAGTCAGTCAGAGGCATATGCCGATGTCAAGGAATACTTTTCCAGTTCACATTGTTTATAGTTATAGAGAGCTCTCACCCATAAAAGGGTCCATCCCATTGTAAGAGTTCATTTCAAAAAAGGACATGAAAATGTTGATTTCAATATACGTTCGAATACCTGAATATTCACTATTTGGAAGAAGATACCGTACTATGTTTACTTATCTGTTGTAAAATCTGTTTTTAAAAGGTTTCCTTAGTTCCTAAAATATGATTTGGTTCATAAAGTGAATTTATGTTCCAGTAGCAAAGTCATCCTGTTTGGAACGAATAATGAAAATCTTGTTGTTTAGCTGTTTCAGGGGAAGGGCTGTTTAGACTGTGAATTTTAAATAATGCCGTGTTTTCGATTCTTTTTATTGTGGTACTAAGACTCCATGAATGAGGCAATTTATAGAAGAAAGAATGGCTTACAGCTTCAGAGGGTTGGAGTCCATCATGGTGCGGGGCATGGCAGTGGGCAGGCAGACATGTTGCTGTAGCGGTAGTCCAGAGCCTTACATCCACAAGCACAAAGCAGAGAGAGCTAACTGGGAATGGGGTGGGCTTTTGAAACCTCGAGTCCACTCCCAGGGACACCCCTCCTCCACTCCTGTTAATCCTTTCCAAACAATTCCACCAACTGGGGAGCAAACACTCAAATATATGAGCCTATGGGGGCTATTGTCATTCAGAACACCACAGACCACCTGCCCTGCTGCAGTATTTGTGCTTAAGCAAGTTTTGAGTCACAACCCCAGGGTGCTAGAGCTCTCTTCCATGGACATAAGTTCCAGCCTCTGAGCTCAGCTTCTCTGTTGCTCCTGTTCTCTTGTGCTTGAGGAATAGCCTTAAGACATTCATCATATAATGACTGGAATGTTCTCCCCATGGGGTTCATTCATATCTTGCCAGTGGCTTTCTCCTTTTTCTGCAGGAAATATTGTTTAAAATTTTTATTTTGAAATTGATCATTTTCTCCCATTTTTTGTACTCATATATTTGATAGTGACTGATAAAGAAAACCCACCTTGAATAAAGAGGCCATGGAAAAATAAAATTGCCTATCACTGTGTGCTGCCCCTCCTCAAATCTTCCAGCTGTTGTGTTGTTCAGCTCACCCTTGGCGATGCTTCAAGTTTGCAATAAGTGGTTCGATGTAGATTCTCAGCATGTTTTTTCAAGCATGATGTGGTTCCTGCATAACCTATGCTGTTTTCCCTATAACTGATATCTTAGTAAGTGTGGAATTGCTACTGCAGTAGTGAGCTGGGGTGCGTGCCTTGCTGTTGACTAGCATCTGGGATGCATGCATTGCTGGTGACTGGCATCCATGCTTGCCGCCCAGGTCCTCCCTCCCTTTTGCTGTGTCTCATCTTCTAGGATCCCATTCTAGAAGCCACAGTCACATTAATTGTCTGGGCTGCAAAAGCTTTTATTGCTTTTGATAACCTTGATAATTTTAAGGATTACTGGCTACGAATTTTGAGAATGTACATCTGTGTTTACTTCATTAATAAACTGATTTGAGAAGGAAGATCTCAAGGTACACTGCCATCCTCATCTTACTGTATGGGATACCGTCAGTGTGGCTGACTGAGAACAGTTGATACCAGTCTTGATCTTCGCTTGAAATGGTTTTACTTTTTTTTTTCTGAAGACCAACCAAGCATTTTCCTGGAAACTTTAATGTCTCGTTCACCAAGGCTACCAGGGAGCTAATGGGAGCTGTTCTGTTTCTCTTTATTGGTGAAGTTGTAAAGCTGCTATAAGTTTCTAAGTATTTAGATGAAAACAGTTTTAGCGGTGGTGAAGAGCATCTCTTTTCATGTGTTGCAGGTGGGAATGAGATCTCGAAACCAAGGTGGAGAAAGTTCATCTAACGGGCATGTCTCCTGCCCCAAGTCCTCCATCATCAGCAATGCTGGTGATAAAGGTCCCTCGGAAGAGGCAAAAAAGAACAAGGCAAATCGGAAGGAAGATGATGTCACGGCTTCGGGAACTGTCAAACGGCACCTCAAACCATCTAGAGAAAGTGAAAAAAAGACCAAGAAGACTCTGGAGTTATCCAAGGAGGACCTCATCCAGCTCCTGAGCATCATGGAGGGGGAGCTGCAGGTAGAGACAGACTCTTCAGGGCATGTGCTTCTAGCTCCTGATCTAGCCACCTGTCCCTCAGTGGACTGTGAGCATCTTTGGGAAGGGAGGGCGGTGCTTATCTTCCTCATTTATGCCTAAATCCTATCTCTCTCTCTCTCTCTCTCTCTCTCTCTCTCTCTCTCTCTCT